TTAAGCAGCCGGTTGGTGGGGGAGGAAGCGTTGCGTGACGAGCCCAAACAACGGCTGCGAAGGAGACTAACCCGTACCCGTAAATTTTTTTTTCAAAATCCCGAAAACTCAAACCAAAAGGCGTTTAATCGCCTTAGTCAAACAAATTATCAACCTCGAGTTCTTAAACTCCCCATTTTGTTGAACCAAGTTTCCCAAAAGCGCCCAAACTGATCGTAATGTTATGCATCTTACATGTCGACCATTTTGAATTGTGCTTTCGCGAATAGGTCTGAGACCGAGTAACTCTTTCAGCATTCAAGTTCTTCATATAGCCTTGGAATTGCTTGGAAGACAAGGCAAGCAAAACACGACAGCACAAGAACAAGGCAAGGTAAACTTGTAGGTATCGAGCATAGTTTGTGAAAGACATTAACGCAAATTATCGAAAATTACCATAAGATCGTCGTCCTCGTTTTCTGCCATTTTATAGTGCCATGTGACTTGGGGACGACGTGACTTTTATACTGCGTGAAGCGGCCTTTGTGTGTTTCGTGAGTCCTGACGTGACATTATTTTACGGGTACGAACACTCTTTATTTCATCGTTAGGACTCTTTTTTTTATTATCAATATTTTACCCTCAGTCTGCATTTTACCCCTGGTCTGCAGTCCGCAGTCTGCGTCTTACACTGACCAGTATCAAGACCCAAGAAATAAATCTACCAGAACCAACAGCGAGAACATGTTTACGGATTTGGCTGATAATTGTAGCCAGGATTTAAATTTAAATTTAATTTCAACTTGCGAAAGCAGAATTTCTTAAACCAAATACTGACAGAGGTAAACAGCCTTCGAACTCATAATGTAAAATGATTACATCCGAAACTCGGAAATGTCGGAAAAGAGGTGTTAAAAACAAAAGATTTTTGGCACACAGTGATTCAATGTCAGTCATTGCCTCGTCTATTTGTATGGCGTTCCATCACCGCCAAAATTCAAACTTAGCCCTTTATCCACGCATACGATCATTCACTGGCAACATTCAAATATTCAATTGAAAAGTTCAACCCTCCACTACAACATTAATGTCAGGCGTTTAGAATACACTCACAACATTCAAACAGTTTAGATCAGACACCTATTACATTTTCTAATGACAACCCTGCTAGCCCTATGGCATAAGATGGGAATCACAAATTGATAAGGTATTTTCTCTACACTCATTACAATGTTGTACTTCATCCTTATTCTACTGTCAACTGTATGATCTCTTAGTCATTGTCATTAGAGACATTTTCATATATTTAAGTTGTGAAATTATTTCATAAAGTAGTAAGATTGATCTTAATTAAGTCTACTATTCCATGTTTTTTTCTTGCTATACTGTACATGCATCCGTAAGCCTTGTGTATCATTCAAAGAATGGAGTGACAGGGGCCAGGTGGAAAGTGGAAAAGCAACTCTCTATGTGGAGTGCGCAAATAAATAAGTATGCCAAAAGGAGTTTTCAGTTTATAGAGTGGGGGTTGAGTGGTGTTGTATTGGAATAGCGAGTTGCTTTTAGACTTGTGTTAAGTTTGATATATGCGAGAATGGCTATGGGTGCCCGCGAATGACCTTTGGAATATGCAAATATCAAAGAGATCACTAAGATCAGTAGGGTTGATACTCGGCACTATAAAAAGATAAGAATCAAATAGATCACTAGGTAGTGTATTTCCACAAAGCAGAAAAGCAGACGACTTGAAAGCAACAGAAATAGACTGTATTTTTAAAAGTAACAAAGTAGATGATCGATCGATGTACAATACAGATGAAATCTCCATTCTCGTCTAAAAGATCTTACATGAACTACAGAAGTGTCTACGGAAAAAGGAAATAAGGTAAGAGCGTTAAAATCTAAGAAGGAGAATTAAAAAAAAAAATAAAAAAAAGGAATGTGGACGCAACCGCAGGAGTTCGAACTCTGATCGTTAGATTACCAGTTCAGCGCCCTATCGCTGTACCAATAAATTTTACAAGCGATAGATACCGACAGGGATGAAAAACGTCTGTGCATGCGTGGCGTGAGCATGTTGATGTTGTCGTTGGCGAGCCGTTGGATCGTTTGATCACTTTGAACCGTCCGTGGATATATTTTGCCTTTCAAACTGGAGTGTAAGGAGGCTATTTGAAAATCATTTCTGTAAACTGAACTCGTCGACATGTTGAACCTATTATTTTTGGAGCTTCCTTGCTCAGTACGTACTCGGTAGGTAGGGAAACACCTGCATTCCAAGCTTAATTTCTTTGAGTATAACTTACCTCTATTTTAGATAATAAGCTAAGATTCAAATTGATAGAAGGTAAATGGTAATAATTTGGTAATAATTTTATCAAGGCGAAGCAGCGAAAGCACACCTATGTATCGTAAATGAACAAATTGAAAAGGCTGCAAAATAATATCTCTTGCGCTGGAAATTAACATTCATTATTGGAAATTAGTTATTTCAATATGGATGGCATGAAAGAAGCTGCTGGCCATCAGCAAAAGCTAGACGAAATCCATTGTTCTCGTGGATGGATGCATCATGGGGTGCCATCAAAAAGAAAAATTCTGCTTCAGGATTAATGCTGAAAGGGAGTTCAGGAACCATAGTGGTTTGGTTTGAGGAGAG